TATAATTATGATTATAACCAAATCCCATGCCCGCACTATCGTTTTTGTTTGGTTAAATGCTAAATTTGATCCCTCAACTTTAGTGAGTTGCACATTTTTGGTTCCTCAATAATTTTTTGTATTTTTTTTATCCCTCAACTATATAAAATGCACTCCGTTAATCCTTCTATAAATTTTGGTCATTAACTCGGGCACATGGTATTTTTTATATTTTTTTTATGACATGGCAAGCACAACTTAAAAAGATGCTTATCTGGACTTTTTTTTTTTTATGACATGTCATCTTCATCTTCTTCACGCAAAACCCCTCCAATGGATTCCAGTTGCCTGCAAACTGGTCTCTCATCTGCAAAATCGATCTTAACCCATTTCTTTTTATTCTCTGAATGCTCTCTCATCTCCACTTCATCTGCAAAATCGATCTTAACCCATTTCTTCTTCTTCTGTGAATGCTCTCTCATCTCCACTCCATCTACAAAACCGATCTTAACTCAACCATTTCTTCTTCTTCTCTTTTCTCAGGGAAAATTGAGCTACTGGGTTTCATTGAAACCTCAAACCTGGCAAATCTTACCAAATCAAAATAACCCTTCAATAAACAAAATACCAATCAAACTCTAATCGAATTTCAACAAAAATACAATCAAACTTTAATCAAATTTCAACAAAAAGGCAATCAAATTATAAATCAATCTCCAAATATATTAACAACTAGAAATGGAAATTGAAAGAAGAACGAAAAAACAAGAACCAAGCTTTCCCAACAAAGCTGGGTTCGGTTGAAACCCAGCCTTGCTGGGTTCGTCGAAACCCAGATTTGCTGGGTTCCGATGAACCTAGCCTTGGCTGGTCGACGAACCTAGCAAGGCTGGGTTTCCACCAAACCCAGCCTTGTTGGGTTTCAACCGAACATAGCAAAGCTGGGTTCAACGGAACCCCGCCTTGCTGGGTTCGTCGAAACCCAGATTTGCTGGGTTCCGATGAACCTAGCCTTGGTTGGTCGACGAACCCAACAAGGCTGGGTTTCCACCAAACCCGAAAGAAAGAAAGAGAAAAAAAGAAGAGGAAGAAGAGGGATTGGGAGGGTGAGGGTGAGGATGAGGGTAATAAGGTAATTTTATATGTTTTTAATTAAAATATGTATATTAATTTATGTGGCATTTTTATTTATTTATATAACATAATTATAATATATATTAGTGCCACATCATCAAAAAAATTAAAAAACAATGCCACATGAAATTATTTAACTGCCACATCATACTTAACTGACGGAGGGATCAAAACTGTACAATTTTTAGAGTCAAGGGATCAAAAAAAAGCAAAAAATTATTAAGGAACCAAAAATGTACATTTTGTAAAGTTGAGAAACTAAATTTAGCATTTAACCTTTCTGTTTCGATGTTCACTTGCTCGGCACCCCCGGTGCCCTTTTCCCCCTTTCTCTACGTTATGGTGAAAATATTTGTAGAAAATTACTTTTGTTTTTTATTAAAAAAATTTACACTCGAAAAAATTTCACAGTCGTACATCTTTTTTTTATTTTTTTTGGTTTTTCACCTGGTATTTGGGGTTTCGTCCCGATTAATCTGGATTCAATCCGCGTCACATACCTAAAAATGGTTGATGAATCTCTTAACGAAAGTTGCTGCGTACACAAAATCTCAAACTCAAGATCTTACTTAAGTTAGAACAAACCGCTTATCACTTGATCTAATCCTTTGTTGATATCGTACGTCTTTTTTTCTCAAATATTTTTCTGAGTCTTGGATTCCTTTCTCTGTTGTCAATATCATGGCCCCGTTTTCAAGATATTAAATGGAATTGCCTGCCATTCAACCTTACGCAGGCAAAGCGGAGGAGGAATCAACTCTCTGCAAATGCAGGACAAATAATTCAAAAAATAAATTATTGGCCCATAAAAAACAGGAAAGGCTAGCCTGACCATGTGAAGAGAGATATAAAATATGAGGGTAAAAGGTACCCATTTGTCCTTTAATTTTTTAAATTTGAGACGTTTTACTTTTTATATTATAATATATAAATTTTTATTTTTTTTATTTTTAAATTTAAAAAAATAAAATAAAATTTAACGTGAAAAAATCACACACAACACGTGCATCGTTATCTCCATTATATATTTACATGTCAACGCTATATCATCAACAATTTTAACTCGTGGATCTTATTTGTTGACTTACAATAATGACATGAAAAAAAAATATTACAAAAAAAAATTTCCTTCCTCTTTTTTTTTTCCTTCCGTTTCCCTTTCTCCCTTTGGAACCGAGGCTCCTCCCTACTCGCTAACCCTAACCCTAACCCTAATTACCCAACTGTCATACCCATTTCCCGCTAAGCCCGAAACCATGATGACAACTAGAAAACCCCAACCCATTCCTTGGACTCACGAAGGGACCATCCATCTCATCCGAGCCTACCAGGAGAAGTGGTACTCCCTCAGTCGCGCCTCCCTCAATGTCAGCCAGTGGGAAGAAGTCGCCAGCACTATCACCGCCCGCTCCGGCCTCGCCGACGAAGATGCTAAGTCAGCCACCCAGTGTCGCCACAAGATGGAGAAGCTCCGCCGCCGCTACCGCGCTGAGCGTCAGGGTCTTGGCGGCTCCTCTTCTTGGCCCTACTTCCACTCTATGGACGAGCTTGACCGTGGTCCGTTTCCCATATCCGCGCGTCCTTTGACTTTGGTTCCTGGTAGAGATGATGGAAATTTTGAGATGGAGTAATTAATTAAAGCTAAAATTAAAATAAATAATGTAATTAAACAAAAAGATTAGAAAAATCTAATTGAGTATGAGGTTGACTAATCCAACGAAAATCTTCCCCTTATAAAATAAAATCCTGATAAACCCTAAGCAAATCCAACGTCCAATAAGCTAAAATTAAAATAAATAATGTAATTAAAAAAAAAAGATTAGAAAAATCTAATTGAGTATGAGGCTGACTAATCCAACGAAAATCTTCCCCCT